GGAAGTTTCATATGAACTGTCTTCAAGATTTGAGAGATCAGTTCTTGAATATTTGGGGGGGGGCGATTGAGCAGTAAACATTTGAAGACGTTAACAAATGTTTTACGACTGTTGACCCACATACACGTACACTCAGTTGTATGCCGCATATACAAAAATATTTTCATATTCACTTATCTGGGACCATAAACTTTCAGTCGTACGTAATCTTCTAAAGTTTGGTTTGTAAGGATTAGTTTTGTTTTTACAAGTTGATTACGGATTGAAATAAGTCGATGATTCCCAAACTAGGATGAAACAGCAACTGTCCAGTACTCCCTGGTTGGTTTTCAATGGTTCTCTAGCTGATATCAATCCGTGATCAACTCGTTAAAACAAAACTAAACCTTACAAACCAAACTATAGAAAATTAATATGATGCTCGCTAGTGACTTGCTACAGGATGGAGTTCTAGTGAGAAGTCGTGACCAGTGAGTGAGGTCTATCCAAATGTCACGTGTGAGGATGGATATCCCACCTACGACAGTGATTGGGTTCGCGGTAAATCATGAATTGGTAGAAGTTTGATTTCATGAACTGGCCACTATAACGGGCTTCAGTGGCTGAATGGCATACGAGCTTGCCTTGTAACCGGAAGGTCCTGGGTTTGAACCTCAGTGGATGCGTAGTGTCGATGATTCCCAAACTAGGACAAACGTAATCGCTAAAATTCTGATGAAACGTACACTCTGTTTAAAGTTTTTAACAAAGGTAGACCAATCAATATTTGTATGTCTGAGGTCAAATTTTGATCACAACTCATACAATTTTGTTTATTGTACATGTTGATGCCTGTTTTATGACTCATGATTGGACAAAGTTTTTAAAAATAAGAGATGTTTCTTTTATATATAAACCTGTGTTATGTTAATTTCGATTAATTTTCCTGAAGAATTTAGAACCACATTACCGAGTGACACGTTGGAATTACTCATTTCAATCTCGCTGAGATTTTACAAATCTATACGAAAGCTTATCGTTTTCAAGAGTATTTTTTAAACTTTTAGATGACTTTGATTGAATTCTCTTCACATACTGACTGAACATTGATGAGTATATGTTCAATTATAGCACTCCATATTGATCCACCGTTACCTTTTCGTAGCCAAATGGGATAATCTTCTTTGACTTTGTTAGATCAAACACACTTCGAACGACCTGTATATCTGGCTCTATATGTACAAGTAAATTGGTAGATATGTAACGACAGAAGACAAGAGTCAGACAACAGATCGTTTATTGAGAAAATCAACAGATATATGTAGATTTTTATGTACATTATTATTCGTTATTGTTAGCAGAGAAGCAACGTCTTCGGATTGATTGTTTTCCTGCTGAAGGTTATTCTGTCATCTCTTTGTGGTAGTTCCTAAGACAGTCCGTTGATATACATCTGCGAGTCGTATTCGCCCACGTTATGTCCTCTGTGAGTGTTTGTTGAGTCCGTCAAGGTTAGGCTTTGTTATTGTTTTTTTCTCATGACCGAGATTTGGGACTGATATGTATCCACATATATATATTTATGTGTGTGTGTATGTTGGTCTCTCTTTCTGTTTGCTCTCTTAGTCTGTGACCATTTCACTTGTATGAACTTGTCTCCTTTAACAATGTATATTCTCCTTATATTATATTATATATAATATGAGTGTTTGTTGACAGTCCGTTGCTTGGTGACATATATCCATATTATGTGTGGTTGTTGACATGTCTGCTATATTTCGCTATGTATATATGGATCGATACTTCATTATAATTAGCCATTCATGTTAAGACTATCTAGTGATTTGCTCACACCCTTTGTCTGGACATTCATGTATATTTCGCATACACAATTTGTGTGAACTACTTTACTTTACACTTACTTACCACTTTGGTGTGAGACCATTTTATTTTCGTCTCCTTGTGTTTGGACAATAGAAGTATCATCGCAAACCTAGTGGTCTTCTGATTTCCGCCTTCTTGCGTCAGGACTATTAGTTTCTCGACCAGTCCATAACAATAATTTAGCGACGAGTACATAACAATTTGGCGATGGGGAAAACCAGAACATAACAGGGATAAAAACATTGGCGTAAATTTCTGTCTACCACTTTTGGTTAGCAGACAGCTCTCACCACAGATACGCATAGAAGTTGTCAAACGCGATGGTTTATTTTTGGGTTAATGAAGAACAACTAGTGGCTTGAGAATACCATTCGTAATGTAGCAGCAGAGAATGTTCTTTTCAGGGCTTTATTTGTTCTTCTCTTTTAGGATGTCGGCCAACAGATCGCTTTTGAAAGCCATAAAATTAACAAAGAACATGTATTGTTTAAAACTTTCAACTGTATTCAAAGGTATATGCATAAGATAATCATGGATAACCACCCTTCGTTTAACACTCTTCATAGTGTGCATTAATAACTATTGTTGTGAAATGACAATATAAGTCTCAGAGTAAAGCAATGCTAACTTCAACTTTATAAATAAAAATCTCCATTATTTCAGTCATTCGTCAAGTAATAATCTTATTTTCACCCAACAACGTGAAACAGTCAGCCAGAGGAGATGAATCCCATCAAGCCACACATGAATCTGAGATATGCTTCTCTTTATTCCTTTAAGTTCCCAGTGGAACATATGGCGGTTTCAAGCTATAGGCTTGAAGTTGCTATGTCAGTGGTGATTATTTTCACAGGATGTGGTTGCTAGCCAGCCTCATGCCCTACTTCCCCTCTTTACCAGTCTTATTACAGGCTTATCTAGGTTGAAGGAATCCATCTGTGGCCGGGAGATCGAACCCTGGACCACCTGTGTGGTCGTTAAGTACTCGACCGGTGTGCTACTGACACATTGTGATATATTTCAATACAAGATATTCAAGAGCGATGAATCATTCAAACGGTATCTGTCAACTATGAAGAAGCGGAAGATAAAAATGAGAATGTCTTCTTAAAAATTGACCAATAATAAACTGTGGAATAAATATGTAGTTCTAGGGGGGTGGGTGGGGGAATGATGATTAAAACTAAAAGTGAAACATTAACGACTACAAGATTCAAACGGAAGTCCTGCTGATTTTTAACTGGATACACAATCGACTGCACTAAAAGATCCAACTTTGAAGAAAGCCTTAACTTCAGTTGAATCACCAGATGTAAGTATAAAACTTGGCCTCTGTGATAGAGTATAACTCCATTATAGATAAGATTTTTGTTTCGATAAATTACACAGTGGTGTTATACAGTAAGTACTATTAACTGACGCGACCACGTTTCTAGCACAAACTATTGCCACTCATAATCATATCAAGTCAACCACTCACTCACACAACTCACTTTCTTCCTTCATTTATATACATACGTGGAATTGATGATTAGACATTTGAATAAAAGTTAATAGGGGATAATGTACATTCAGAAATAATAATATGAGTGTTATTGATCAAATACGATGAAATGGGGAATAAGACGAGTGATTGTATAGTCAAAATAAGTAACTTGCTAGAAAGTTGTGATGAACGTGAATCGTATTGAAATAGAATTTTAAGATTATTTATCATCGTCCTCTGATTTCACTGACTGACTGATGGTAATAATATCTTCCATGCATATCTGTGGTATTTCCATCCAGTAATTTCTGTTGCATGTATTGTGTTGGGTGTATAGTGGATGAACCTGGCAAGTTTCAGTAATCTCTCTCTCCACCCACCTATATAACTTCTTAGAATTTTAACCGTCTCCCACCCTAGTGTGTGGTTGTGTGTTAATGCATACAGTAAAACTTTTGAGCTTTTTTCTAAATTGCATATCTTCTCGGAGTCAACAGTTCTGCCCTTAGCTAAATTCTTATGTCCCGACAATCTGACTACCCTCATTCTACTAGTTTGACTTGTGTAGTTGACGTCACAGTCACTGCAAGCGATTTTGTAAGTGTCGGCTTATAAATCGATCAAATGCGACTAATGAAATGTCTTATTTTCGTTTCTGATACCACATGAATCCTAAAGTAAATGTGTTACGACTAGCACTCTTCAACATACCATATCCTAGAATTAATTTACTTATACAATGGGTAAGGATTGAACTTGGAATGAAACTATTGTAACGACAGAAGACAATGGTCAGGTAACAGATCCTTTATTGAGTAAATCAACATATATTTATAGATTTTTATGTACATTAATATCCGTTATTGTTAGCAGAGAAGCAACATCTTCGGATTGGTTGTTTTCCTGCTGAAGGTTATTCTGTCATCATGTTGTGGCCGTTTCTAAGACAGTCCGTTGATATAAACCTGCGAGTCGTATTCGCCCACATTATGTATTCTGTGATTGTTTATTGAGTTCCTCAAGGTTGTGTTTTGTTCTTGTTTTTCCTCATGACCTCAATTTGAGACGTAATCACTGACGTCAATTTTTTTTCAACACTTTTGTCTTGCAAACAGCTTTCACCACACTATGAGACACATCTGTACTCGAATCAGTGGTGTCTCTTTTTATTTCGTCCTGAGTCACCACTTACAGAAAGAAGTCTGCAAACCCAAGACTAACTATTTCAAATAGTCTAACCGCTGGAATTTTGTTAGTATTTTTTTCAAAAGTAATTCATATTGGTATATAAAGACAAACTGATCTACCTACAAAGTCTGCCATACAAGGAAGGAACATCGGAAACCACCTTACGCAGAATTCTTAGCAAGGCAGGCGAGAATAAAAGTGGCTGGCATTCAAACCACCCACAAACTCAATCAGAAACAAGCTTCGGTGGTTAAAGAATCATACCAGTGGAGGCGACTAAACAAAACAATTTAGTTTATCTAATACCCTGTCTCCAGTGGTTGTCAGGTCAAATACATAGGTCAAAGTAGTAGAACAGGGCTCGGTCATTGAGACTAGCCAATCATAAAAACCTAGCAAAATCTAGGTTGGTTGACCCGAATAAGATAAGAAATTTAGAGAATAGTTGAGATATAGCACTCACCACTTGCAGGTACACACAACAGCCGTACAATAGGATGGATAGGATAGGATGACAGTTTTGAAATCTAATGTAGCGGCAGGGTAGATGGAGAGATTGATAACAGAAACTTTGTTTATGGAATCAGCTGCGAAAGAATACATATAATACGAATGATTCAACATCTGTCCACCCAGATGCCTGTAAAACAGAACAAGGAAAAGTATAAAAATTCAAGTTTCGAAGTCTTGTGATATGATTATGAGTAATAATAAATTTTGTTCGAAACTGTGTCATCCAGTAAATGGTAATACTGTTTCACTCACTGTGTGATCCATCTAAATAAACAAACTAATATATGAAATTACTTTCACTTTTTCCATTTTGCATCTAAACTAACTAAATGTGTGATCAGATTGTTGTTTGAAAAATGTATTGCTCAAATAAATCGAATTGTTTTTCGTCAAAAATACTCCAAGTTTTATTAATGTTATGCAAATCTAGTCAGTCAGTCTATCCACACACCCTGTGTAACTAACGTTCATTTACTAAAAAAACAGACATGAGAAGAAGAAGAAGTATAGTAGAACTAATAAACTGTATGCATAAATTATTTTTTTCATCAGGCCTTATCTATTTTTTCAGACATGTGCGTCGGTGGCACAGTGGTTAGGACTCTCGCCGACCATGCACATGGTCCGGGGTTCGAGCCCACACCGGCGCACACCTGATATCTATGGTCGGCCTGCAAAATTTGGGCTACCGATATCCATGCTGAAAATTCCATAATTGTACCAAAAATACAGTGTGGAATCAAGCTGTAAATCAAAAATAAAAATAAATAAAAAAAAATAAAAAAAGACATAATAACTTTACTGTCAACTCAAATGACTGAAACAACTAACATATATAAACTGAAACTCACACTGCAAGAAAATGGATATCCACAGAGCTTCCTAAAAAAGTATATGTCAATACCTACAGACAGGGTAAAATTGGATACCGTAGATAAGAAACCTTTGTATTTGAAGTTAAGTTACAAAGGGGGAATCGCAACTGACATTCTAAACTGTCAACTTAATAGAGCAGTAGATGGAATATTTCCTGCAGCTAAACTAGTACTCACACAGCAAGTCAAGGATAAATTACCAAAGAAGACCTCATCAATATGCATCTTTGAATTCAACTGCTCATGTGGAGCTAGTTACATTGACCGTATTCAGAGGGCTTTATCCATGCGTGTGCGTGAACATGTACCTGTATGGTTGAGTAAAGGAGTAACCAAATGCATAAATAGTGCAGTCTTAACCCACTTGGTAGATACTGGACACCCGATAAAACTTGACCAAAGGTTCTCAGTTATTTACCGCGTTCCTAGTAATTTATTTATCTAGAGGAACTCATCGACGTCTTCTATCAGTAGTTACAGCGTTTGCAATTAATACCAGAAGACTATCCCTTTGCATACAGAAGAAGTATGTTCAACCTCTATGTTTACCTTGGCCCACAATAAAGCCAACAAATCCTCCATTAACACTATAAATTTCCTTTCACAATTTTCTTTTCTTTTCCTTCTTCTATTCCTCTGTTTCATTGACAAACGTTCATTTTCGACTTTTATGATTTCACGACCTTTCTTATGATTTCTGCTATTACCTTAGGTTTAAATAGTGCTTTTCTAACTTACTATCGTATTTACAAAATCCTGTTCATTCCACTTCATTATATTCATTATTGTTATTTGACAATCATTCTTATTGTCGTTATCTTCAACCTTGAACTTAAGTCTAGTTCACCCCATTCGTTGGTTTATTTTCATATTGTCTCACACACCCTGATTACACTCACTCTTGAAACCTGTATTTTCGGTTGACTATATATATATACATGATTAAATTAAATTACTTCATCTCATTTTGTCCCATGTTTTCATTGACTATGCATATTGAAAAACTACATGACTGTTGTTCTGTCCCATCTTATACTTGTTCCACAATACACTTTCTGATATGATTCTAATTCGCCTTTACTGGCTATTGTATGCTTAAATTAATGGATTTATAATTGTGGAGCCTGAAGAGGGAAGAATTTATTGAAACCACAATTGTTCGCTCTGTTTTGTTCTGAATAAAGATTACTACTCGGTATTACGTCATTCTCTAGTCTAGCTGCTTAGTTTATCTTTATTCCAACTGTGTTATTCATGTGGCCGGGTTGAAAATTAGCATATATTGCATAATATAAAATAAACTAACGGAGAACAGTAATTTATGCATACACCGTTTGATTCATTAGTTGTAGCTGCGTCGGTGGCACAGTGGTTAGGGCTCTCGCCGACCATGCACATGGTCCGGGGTTCGAGCCCTCGCCGACGCACACCTGATATCTATGGTCGGCCTGTAAAATTTGGGCTACCGATATCCACGCTGAAAATTCCATACTTGTACCGAAAATACGGTGTGGAATCAAGCTGTAAATCAAAAAAAAATAAATAAAATATTATCTTCTTGTAAATGTTTATTTTTCCTTAGTAAGGTGTACAAGTGTGGTGATTGGCAATTTCTATCGCTGTATTGTTTAAATACTTACTGTTGTTTGTTAATATATGTTTATTTTGTATGAATTGCAAATAATTTCGCCAGATACAAATTCCTAAATTCATCCTTCTCTGTGATGTTGTTGGTTCATTTCGTGTAATTTGGTCATTGCGAAATACTACTATAACAACAGAAGATAAGGCCCAGTCAACAGAAGGTTTATTTACGAAATCAACACATATTTATATATTTTCATGTACATTATTATAGATTATTGTTAGCAGAAAAACACAGTTTTCTGATTGGTGGCTGTTTCTCACTGAAAGTTATTCTTTCATCTCTTTGTGGCTGTTTCTTGAATGTCAGGTCATCTATATGCTAACTGTATCCGTCTATGCAAAGCTTTTGTACTCATTTTTCTCACAACCAATATTGGGGACATAAACATTGATGTAAATTACTGTCCACCGATTGTGACTAACAGCCAGCTCCCTCCACACTCGTCCCCCATCAAAGAATTGCGTCTGAAGTTGTTTCCGTTTTCTTGATTCTAAGGGCTTTGTTCGTTTTTCTTGTCCTGAAATCTCGGCACTCACTGATGTTCACCTGTTTCTATTTGTTCACAATTGCGATTGTGTCTGCGTAACCCCATCTCAACGTGACGACTATATGTGGCCCTTACCACTTCGGAAACTGTTTGCCTGACCCTATCGTACATTCGTCGCTATTTCGTCTCACGCTTTCACATGCCGCTTTCTCTCGACATCGCAGCAGCGTCCCATGTAGCAGCTTCATCATTGACAGATCTTGAACACCGCTCAGCTGCGCAGAAGCCTCGAAGTCCTGCTCGAAGATCCATATGTCTCCATCAAAAACTGCAGGACAGTGACATCAAATGCAACAACAGAAGATAAGGGCCAGGCAACAGATGGTTTATTAAGTTAATCAACACATATTTATATATTTTCATGTACATTATTATAGATTATTGTATCTTCTGATTGGTGGTTTCTCGCTGAACGCTAATCTTTCATCTCTTTGTGGCCGTTTCTTGAAGTTCAGATTACCTATCTGCAAAGTGTATCCACCTACACAAAGTCTGGTGTGATTGGTTGTCGAATCAGTCTCTGTTCTTATTTTTCTCACGACCAATATTGGGGACGTAAACACTGATGTAAATTACTGTCTACTGATTTTGGCTAGCAGCCAGCTCTTACCACACTACTATTACAATTTGTTATAACACTTTTGCCTCGCGAGCAGGATCATGTAATCTTGGAAAGCTTCCTATGGACCTAGGGTTTATCGCGGGAAATCGCCGATTATCTTGAATGCTTCGAAGCATGGTGCACGTTGAAGAGTGTTCGTGATGACAAAATTTCGGCTCATTTTATTACTGTGATTGGGCCAGGTGCGTACAGCCTAGTGAAAACTCTGTCATTTCCAGATAAACCAATTTCTCTGTTAAATAATAAACTCCATGAACCTCCAAGAGATCACTTCCACATAACAACTTCTGAAACACGAGAGAGGGCTCAGTTTAACAGACTTCTTCATGTTCGCAACCACCAAAGAGCGAATTTATTCTTCAGCTTCAGATACAATCTTCAAAGTGCAACTTTGGTCCGAAAATCGAATTGCATGATGAATGTCTTTTAAAACTGTTCAGATATTTCTGTGGGAAAATATTCTTCTTAATCCATCGAAATGTCACTTGACTTTATCGTCTGTATCATGCTTGAGATACAAAGTAGACTCTGAGGGTTTGGTACCTCTAATTCAAGCAACTTCACCAAAAATATATCGTCGTTGAGGTCATGGATGGTACTCTTAAGTTTTACTCCAGATTCATTCCCAATTTCACTCAAACTGTTATCTCTGCTTTTGATATTGTCTCCAGTAAACAATTTAAGTGGGAACAACAACATGATTGGTTGTATAAAGCCACTTTGCTTCTGGCTATGCTTCTTTAACTTCGCTTGACGAGTGTATTCCGATGATAAACTGAACAGTATTACATGCAAGAAACTCAATGTCTAATCTGAGATATGCATACATGACTGTTATCTCAGTCGTGTAGATAGCTAACTTCATGGTAATAGTCAATCGTCGAAAGACCATTCACTGCGTCGGTGGCACAGTGGTTAGGACTCACGCCGACCACGCATATGGTCCGATGTTCGATCGCCTGGCGACGCGCACCTGATATCTACAGTCGGACTGCAAAATTTGGGCTACTGATATCACATGCTGAAAATTCCATACTTGTACCGAAAATTCAGTGTGGAATCAAGCTGCAACTAAATTTTAAAAAATTAAAATTAATTTTTTACTTATTATTAGGCAGACATTTGCAAACAAATTAGTAGGAGTGTACAATTTGTGGATGGTGGCTAGCAGTGGAATCCAGGATGCGCATTTCGTCCTATTTGGGACTCGTCAGCTGGATGTACCTGCATTTCTCAGTGAGTGATGATGTTCCCACCGAGGCTCGAACCCAGTGCCATAGTTTCAAACACCAAAGCGTTATCCACTAGACCACTTGGGCCACGAGAGTGGTCTAGTGGATAACGCTTTGGTGTTTGAAACTATGGGCACTGGGTTCGAGCCTCGGTGGGAACATCATCACTCACTGAGAAATGCAGGTACATCCAGTTGACGAGT